GTGACAGTTGAAAGTTTAGCGATACGCTGTAGAAGATGCTTCCTGCCATCCAGGACCTCTATACCAGGCGGTGTCAGAGGAAGGCCCTAAAATTGTCAAAGACTCCAGCCACCCTAGTCATAGACTGTTCTCTCTGCTACCGCACGGCAAGCGGTACCGGAGCGCCAAGTCTAGGTCCAAAAGACTTCTCAACAGCTTCTACCCCCAAGCCATAAGACTCCTGAACAGTTAATCATGGCTACCCGGACTATTTGCACTGCCCACCCACCCCATCTTTTTACGCTGTTGCTACTCTGTTAATTATTTATGCACAGTCACTTTAACTCTACCCACATGTACATATTACTTCAACTACCTCAACTAGCCGGTGCCCCCGCACATTGACTCTGCACCGGTACCCCCCTGTATATATAGCCTCCCTACTGTTATTTTATTTTACTGCTGCTCTTTAGTTATTTGCTTAAACATTTTTTACTTTTTACTTTAAAAAACTGCATTGTTGGTTAAGGGCTTGTAAGTAAGCATTTCACTGTAATGTCTACACCTGTTGTATTCGGCGCATGTGGCAAATACAATTTGATTGGATTTGATTTGATTTTAAAAGTTTTTTATGTTTTATAAATCACTTTCCACCCTGTTAATTTGTTATGGGGGCGGCAGGTAGCTTAGTGGTTAAGAGCGTTGTGCCAGTAACCGAAAGGTCGCTGGTTCTAATCCCCGAGCCGACTAGGTGAAAAATCTGTCGATGTGCCCTTGAGCAAGGCACTTAACCCTAATTGCTCCTGTAAGTCGCTCTGGATAAGAGCGTCTGCTAAATGACTGTAAATGTAAAAAATGTAAATTGTAATTCTCCATTTAAGAAAACAACCCCTTCCTACAAGGACACCCCATTCAGGAAGTGTCATAATTTCTTTGCTGTGAAAACAATGGTGCAAAGCTAAATAAATATAAACACTCAGTTGTATATATTGCCCCATGTTTCATGTTGTTAGTCTGAATGTCCCACTCATACATTGCCACCCTGTTAGGCTAAATTATAGAGAAAATTGACAAAATCTCAGTGTTCACCGTTATTTTAGCTTAGTCTTGCTCACTCGCAGAGCTATAGCTAATTTAGGCTCCACATTTCCACTCTTTTAGGTTCCACCCTGTTAGGAGTATGCACCTAACAGGTTGGAAAATGCTTGACCAATATGTTCCTTTTCTGACAGAATAATAACAAATAAAAAATAATAAATAAATGTAGGAATGAACCAACTGACAATCAGCTGTCTTAAAACGCTACATATTGAGAGCCAGTTTGAAGAAAAGCTTCCTTGAGACTGCTGGGCATGTAAGTGGGTCCTGAGCAGTGATGATTTTAGCATGTAAATCTTGGTGGGGCAAAAAAACTAAAATGTGGGATGCATGCCAGCAAAGCCACTACACAACACTACACTAAACAATACATTAATTGCACTATTACGGTGACAAACGGTGCCCACAAACTGTTAGGGCCTACATAAAGCTGTCCCAATAGCAGAGTCCCAACAGCAGTCCCAATACCTTACCAACGCTACACCTGGCTATCAGCGGAGCCTTGTCTGGCAGGGAAAAACTTAATTCAGCCTCATTTACTGCCTTTAAAAAAAACATAACTGATGTGGCTGACTTGCTTAATCAAATGTGGTTTCTACTGACAATTGAGATGTACAAACTATGGCATAAGGGGATGACAAGCGGATAAGAGGCAATCCGTAATTTAGATTAAGACATTAATGAGCGAGCTAGGATGGACGTAGTCAATACAACTATTTGTTCAGCACTTTTGAAATGTACAGCGACAGAATTCAGAACATGGGCCGTTCTTACAGTGTTCTCCCTGTACACCAAGTCAGAACTGTAGAATAAATAAAGGGGGCATATAAGCAGATAATGAAAGCTATTACAATAGTCAATTATTACATTTCTCTAAAACAGGTTATAGGCAACGTGTACAACCAAGTCAGAACAGTAGGCGAAATTAAGAGGGGAAAATAAACCAAATTATTAGGGTGAGGCACATGGGCAACTAACAGCTTACTACAAATCATACACTTAGTATTACTTTCTTAACTACAGTATACATATCTCCCTGGCATATTACATCATTTATACAGCAGCATGCAAGACATTTTTGGACAAGGTTGCGCGGGGGTCCTTCGTGGGCAAATTTTGTCATCAAACTTTGTCATCAAAGTCTGCCATTCTCTGGATTGATGGTGCTTTCAACATAACTGGGAACTCAAAAATCATGATGATGTCAGTGATTTTCAGGTCGTAGCTCTAGAAAGAGGCCAGAGTTCCGGATTTACAACTCCGAGTTGGATGACTGTTCAAAACTTATTTTCCCAGTCGGAGATCGTTTTTGCCGAGTTCCCAGTTGTCTAGAACTCACTGAAGTCAGATGTCGCAGTTCCGAGTTAACTGTTGTTTTGAGCGCGGTACAAATCATGCTTTATTGACAGCATGGCCAATGTTGAATGTTTATCATTTTAAACTTGGAAAAGAGAACCTTAATCCCAGACTTGGGACCACACAGCCACTCCACTGAATAGCAGGCTAGTGATTGGTTTGCAACAACTCATTGTTGAATTTGTGATTTCCTACTTGTTGTGTAATGTTTATGTCCAATGGCCCATGAGCACCGATACGTTTTTAAAATAATTTCTCTACATTATTGATCTTCATATGACAAGGATTAAAGAGGATTTGACAGTAAATTGACGACTTGATTCATGATGATGACTGCTAGCTAAGATTTTGAAAGTATGATGTTGACATGATCAGTCCAATCAAAGCTACTGTAGATATAATGTGATTTGACATAATTTTATCTGTGGCCAATGACCTTGAGCCTTCTTGGATGGGATCTTCAAATATAACTCTATGGCAGCACCCAAGGGGCTTGAATTTTCAAGCTCTACCCTTAGACGTGGCAGCGACGTAGTGTCACCATGAGTGACAGAACACTGAGCCAATCACGGTGCAACTAGAGAACATTACCAACACCTACGCTCCGTATTTTCTGCTGGCTGCCCCACCACCACAGAAAGCACTGAGCTAGGCTGAAACACCTGCATTTTGGAGCTGCCTTGCTCAATAAGCAAAACAGAGACCATGTTTGGCTTACTGATTGCCACTGGTCCTGAGGAAGATGAAGTACATGATGACTAAACACAGAGGACTATTAAGGTGGCAAACAGCATGACATCTGATATCACTCTGCTTTACATGGATCCTACATGATGCAGGGCTTGTAACCAATCTGTGTTAGCCCTCAAGGCTGTTGAAATGTGTGATAAATAGGCCTGCAGGTTTAACACTTGTTATAACAATGTGCGAGCCTTCATAATGCCTTAAGGTTTACAATATTTCATATGTTTCTTCTCTACAGGGAAATATTAAACAACAGCTGGAGGCCATTTGTGATCAAATTGGCTTCCTCCAATCTTTGTGCAAAAAGTTTGAGCATATGTTTATCAGTTTGAGGCTGCTGACTGAAGAACTTTTCAACAACGGATTGTTTTTTGCGAACCTTAAGCTCTGCAAGTGAGTACTGTAAAAATACATTATTGTTCAACATAATTTGTGAAAGGTGTGGAAATAGCTTTTCATCAGAGAGGCACGGTACTGTAGTAGAAATGTCATGTTTGATTTGATTGATTGCGTGGTGTATCTCTATAATTCATATTTCTACAAACATGTTTCAGACGAAAGACATTGCTGGATGTCATTTAAAGTAACTGTACAGTGGAAATCTCACTTTTAAAGTTCATATTATATTAACTCATACCCAAATAATGTATACTATACTCGTATTTGTAGCAAAAGCAAACAAGTGAGGAAAAAAACACTTAAAAACCGCATCTCAAACTCATATCTTAAACAGACCTTTTCAAAAATTATTTATATTTCCTCATAGAACATGATGTCATCTCCCTGAAGAGGATGAGCTGGACAATCAGCTGTCTACTCACGTTAATATTTGTAATGACCGACATACGCCCACACCATTCTGTTGTTGGGGTACGCTGACACCATTCACAGAAAAGCTGCTTTTTCACATAATTAATTACAATTTTTTGGAAGGAAAACTATTTAACTTATATTGTAAATAATTACAAGTCATATTTCATAGAAATCTGGAAACACTTGGCAGTTACTTTAAGCTACTAACCAAGCAATCAAGATTCTTTACAGATAACTGAGATTCTAAATAAAAAAGGTTGCCAAAATGCCCACATGAGTTCCTAAACATTGTAATTAAACGCTTTATCGTAAAAAAAAAAAAATACTATATGTTAATCAGTAGAAATTCTAATTGGATATATTTATAGAGTTATGTTAGAGGTGTCAAAGAAGGGTTGGAGTTATAATCTCTATCAATTGAGGTTAATTTTTTGCCTGGCAAAAAATTTCACACAAACAAACATAAAAAATGTTCAACATTTGGGACTAAAATAGCAAAAGGTTAACATTTGTACGTGATACAAAATGTACTGCAATTTAAGAATGACACATACACTATTATGAACCAGATAGTTCGAGCCCTGGATGCTGATTGGCTGAAAGCCATGGTATAAGAGACAATATACCGCAGGTATGACACAAAATGACTTACTTACTGTTCTAATTACATTGGTAACCTGTTTATAATAGCAACAAGGCACCTCTGGGGTTTGTGGTAAAGGGCCATTATACCACAGCTAAGGGTTGTATCCAGGCACTCCACGTTGCATGGTGCATAAGAACAGTCATTAGCCATGGTAAATTGGCCATATACCACACTCCCTCTGGCCTTATTGCTTAATTATAATACATTATTTCAGAACATAATCATTCCATCAACTTGATCATCCATGTATATGCTTGTGTTGTGACTAGTTTGAAAAAGAAAGAGCAAGAGGTTGGCAGCATAGCATTGTCTTGACAACAGAACATCCATCTTCTCACTTTGGAATCTGGATACTGGCTGCTTGGTCAGTAGCTCAGGTCCAAAACTTCCTTTGGTCTAAAGATGCACAAAAAGACCACATGAGTGGAAGATCAGAAGACATAACCCCATATTTTCATATTAATTAATACATTCTACTCAATAGTGTTTCAATTAACAAGCACAATTATCATCGCTATACTCTTTAGTTGTCTGAACAGTGACTTAAGAGTATGTCGAACGGTTTCTTGTACTCACTTGCAGGCCTTAATGTTAACGCAGATGGTCCTCACGTCATCGCTTGTGCTAAGCTCCTCAATCAGCACCCACAAGTGTTTTTTCACCAGGCCTTTACACATAGATTTTAGGAAGCCAACATTATCGCAAACGGACAATAGTGTCTGCTTTAGCTCCTCCTATTGACGAGAAATCATCATCCACATCAGTTGACATTTTCAGAGAAATATCACAGTAAATAGTAAATAGTGCAATTTCATGAAGAGACACTCTTATGAATTGTAATGCTATGGTAGCTACCGGGCTAGAGGAAGTGGAGCTGGATTTCTTCACTTTGTTCAGTGCCCACTTACACACCCAGCAGGTTCCCATTAGCTGTTGCTCCTTTGGAAAGCACAAACAGACAAGAAAGGACATGTTAGAAAAATTAAATAATCTGTCGCTGTGCCCTTGAGCTAGGCACTTAACCCTAATTGCTTCAGGGACTCTGTACAATGGTGATCCTGGCCGTGACCCCACTCCCTGTGGGTGTCTCGGGGGTACTTGGGATATGCAAAAAAAAACATTTCCATTACATAATTTGTTTAACAAGACAAATAAAGCACCCCCCCCCCCCCCCCAAATTATTATTATTACTTAAATTATGGTGTGATGTATTCAGTGTTATGGTTGAAGTACATTTGAATATGTATTGTCAGGTTGGACAGTAGTTTCTTCAGTCAATGTATGTCTTTAGTTATATTTACGGCTATGGTTAAGTTCTGTTAAACAGTAGGAGGTTGAGTATTCCAATAGGAAGTTGCAGAAATGTCTACACTTTCTCTTAGTTCATAACATTTTGACCATAGCATACTATTACCATGTGCTTTTCCGGCTGTGCTTCCACTACTTCCTGGTCATCAGGGTCAACCTCTTGGCATTGCCCATGGATCTCCCAAACTGTGAAGAAAAAATGATACAACAGTCACTCCCATGATGGGTCCTTTACTTGAATTGTACTGAAACCAAAGGTGAACTTGGAGTTGATTTAGGCCCCCCTACCCACAGTTCCCCTTGCACCCTGACCCAATGTATGTGCTGCATATACAGTAGTTACTACTTGAGTTAACAAATGAAATCTCACCTGAACAAGCCAGCAGACAGAGGGCAAGGAGGAACAGAGATGTTTTCATGATTTGTGGTGGTAGAGATGTGAAGAGTAAAGTCGTGTTGGGGTTTGGTAAAGTGACTTATGAATCAGACAAGCCCCTTTATACATAGAGGCCCCTCTATCTACAGCCCCCTGTACAAACCCCACCTACGACCTATTGATAGTACATCTCACATTGACCACAACACACAAACCTTACAAGTCAACAGGATGTTACTTGTGGTTTTCATAATCACCTTTTTCCATCTCTCCACAGTCTGATCTTCATTTTAATTTCATTTTAATTAGTCAATTACAGATTAAGTCATGTACTGTATGTCATGGAAAGAGCAGGTGTTCTTCATATTTTGTACACTCAGTGTATGTTTCCAGCAGAATACACCACACTGACATATTGATTCCAACTTGTTCAGCTAGCTTACAAGTGGTACATTTAGGGCTATATCTACTAAGCTAACATATGGAGTTGTTTTATGATAGTAATAATATGGACCATTAGCTATTTTAATTTGTATTTTAGGATACCTGTAGGTATATTAAAAAGATTTACAAATTATTTGATGAAGAATTACATTTGCCCTTACTTCTATTAGCCCATAGAAACGCAATGTATTACACAAAAATACATGGCAAAATAAATAAAAATGAAGTTTGTTTTGAAGTGTCTGAAATGTATCTGAGAGATATAGGAAAGCTCAGGATAACATCAAGGACAGAATTTTTTTCTTATTGTTGTTTGTGGATCACTCCAGAGAACGTGTTTCCACTTTTTTTATTTTTTTATTTTTATTTCACCTTTATTTAACCAGGTAAGCCAGTTGAGAACAAGTTCTCATTTACAACTGCGACCTGGCCAAGATAAAGCAAAGCAGTGCGATAAAAACAACACAGAGTTACATATGGGGTAAAAAACATAAAGTCAAAAATACAACAGAAAATATATATACAGTGTGTGCAAATGTAGCAAGTTATGGAGGTAAGGCAATAAATAGGCTATAGTGCAAAATAATTACAATAGTATTAACACTGGAATGCTAGATGTGCAAGAGATTATGTGCAAATAGAGATACTGGGGTGCAAAAGGGCAAAATTAATAACAATATAGGGATGAGGTAGTTGGGTGGGCTAATTTCAGATGGGCTGTGTACAGGTGCAGTGATCGGTAAGGTGCTCTGACAACTGATGCTTAAAGTTAGTGAGGGAGATAAGAGTCTCCAGCTTCAGAGATTTTTGCAATTCGTTCCAGTCATTGGCAGCAGAGAACTGGAAGGAATGGCGGCCAAAGGAGGTGTTGGCTTTGGGAATGACCAGTGAGATATACCTGCTGGAGCGCAGACTACGGGTGGGTGCTGCTATGGTGACCAATGAGCTAAGATAAGGCGGGGATTTGCCTAGCAGTGATTTATAGATGGCCTGGAGCCAGTGGGTTTGACGACGAACATGTAGTGAGGACCAGCCAACAAGAGCGTACAGGTCACAGTGGTGGGTAGCGTATGGGGCTTTGGAGACAAAACGGATGGCACTGTGATAGACTACATCCAATTTGCTGAGTAGAGTGTTGGAGGCTATTTTGTAAATGACATCGCCGAAGTCAAGGATCGGTAGGATAGTCAGTTTTACGAGGGCATGTTTGGCAGCATGAGTGAAGGAGGCTTTGTTGCGAAATAGGAAGCCGATTCTAGATTTAACTTTGGATTGGAGATTCTTTATGTGAGTCTGGAAGGAGAGTTTACAGTCTAACCAGACACCTAGGTATTTGTAGTTGTCCACATACTCTAGGTCAGACCCGTCAAGAGTGGTGATTCTAGTCGGGTGGGCGGGTGCCAGCAGCGTTCGATTGAAAAGCATGCATTTAGTTTTACTAGTGTTTAAGAGCAGTTGGAGGCTACTGAAGGAGTGTTGTATGGCATTGAAGCTCGTTTGGAGGTTTGTTAACACAGTGTCCAATGAAGGGCCAGATGTATACAAAATGTTGTCGTCTGCGTAGAGGTGGATCTGAGAGTCACCAGCAGCAAGAGCGACATCATTGATATACACGGAGAAAAGTGTCGGCCCAAGAATTGAACCCTGTGGCACCCCCATAGAGACTGCCATAGGTCCAGAAAACAGGCCCTCCGATTTGACACACTGAACTCTATCTGAGAAGTAGTTGGTGAACCAGGCGAGGCAGTCATTTGAGAAACCAAGGCTATTTAGTCTGCCAATAAGAATGCAGTGGTTGACAGAGTCGAAAGCCTTGGCCAGGTCGATGAAGACGGCTGCACAGTACTGTCTATTATCAATCGCGGTTATAATATCGTTTAGGACCTTGAGCGTGGCTGAAGTGCACCCATGACCAGCTCGGAAACCGGATTGCATAGCGGAGAAGGTACGGTGGTATTCGAAATGGTCGGTGATCTGTTTGTTAACTTGGCTTTCAAATACTTTCGAAAGGCAGGGCAGGATGGATATAGGTCTGTAGCAGTTTGGATCTAGAGTGTCACCCCCTTTGAAGAGGGGGATGACCGCGGCAGCTTTCCAATCTCTGGGGATCTCAGACGTTATGAAAGAGAGGTTGAACAGACTAGTAATAGGGTTTGCGACAATTTCGGCGGCTAGTTTTAGAAAGAAAGGGTCCAGATTGTCTAGCCCAGCTGATTTGTAGGGGTCCAGATTTTGCAGCTCTTTCAAAACGTCCACTGATCCAGAGTCCAATGGCGGCGAGCTTTACACCACTCCAGCCAATGCTTGGCATTGTGCATGGTGATCTTAGCCTTGTGTGCGGCTGCTGGCCATGGAAACCCATTTCACGAAGTGCCCGATGAACAGTTATTGTGCTGACATTGCTTCCAGAGGCAGTTTGGAACTCAGTAGTGAGTGTTGCAACCGAGGACAGAAGATTTTTACACGCTACGCGCTTCAGTACTTGGCAGTCCTTTTCTGTGAGCTTGTCCTCGGTTCTGAGTACTTGGCAGTCCTTTTCCTACCACTTCTCGGCTGAGCCGTTGTTGCTCCTAGACGTTTCCACTTCACAATAACAGCACTTACAGTTGACCGGGGCAGCTCTAGCAGGGCATAGATTTGACAAACTGACTTGTTGGAAAGGTGGCATCTTATGACAGTGCCAAGTTGAAAGTCACTGAGCTCTACAGTAAGGCCATTCTCCTGCCAATTTTTGTCTATGGAGATTCCATGGCTGTGTGCTCGATTTTATACATCTGTCAGCAACGAGTGTGGCTAAAATAGCCGACTCCACTAATTTGTAGGGGTGTCCACATACTTTTGTATATATAGTGTATATCTCCATAATGCATACACAATATACAGTGCATTTGGGAAGTATTCAGACCCCTTCACATTTTCCACATTTTGTTACATTAGTCTTACTCTAAATTGGATTAAATTATTTTTTCCACTCATCAATCTACACACAATACCACATAATGACAAATCGAAAACAGGATTTTAGAATGTTTTGTAAATGTATTAAAAATACAATACAGAAATACCTTATTTACATAATATTCAGACCCTTTGCCATGAGACTCGAAATTGAGCTCAGGCGCATCCTGTTTCCATGTATCATCCTTGAGATGATTCTACAACTTGATTGGAGTCCATCTCTTGTAAATTAAATTGATTGGACATGATTTGGAAAGGAACACAGCTGTCTATTTAAGGTCCTACAGTTGACAGTGCATGTCAGAGCATAAACTAAGCCATGAGGTCGAAGGAATTGTCCGAAGACTCCGAGACAGGATTGTGTCGAGAAACAGATCTTGGGAAGGGTACCAAAACATTTCTGCAGCATTGAAGTTCCCCAAGAACAGAGTGGCCTCCATCCCTCTTCAATGGAAGAAGTTTGTAACCACTAAGATTCTTCCTAGAGCTGGCAATCGAGGGAGAAGGGCCTTGGTCAGGGAGGTGACCAAGAACACGATGGTCACGCTGACAGAACTCCAGAGTTCCTCTGTGGAGAAGGGAGAACCTTCCAGAAGGACAACCATCTCCGCAGCACTCCACCAATCAGGCCTTAATGTTAGAGTGGCCAGATGGAAGCCACTCCTCAGTAAAAGGCACATGACAGCCCGATTGGAGTTAGCCAAAAGGGACCTAAATGACTTTCAGACCATGACAAACAAGATTCTCTGGTCTGTTGAAACCAAGATTGAACTCTTTGGCCTGAATGCCAAGCATCATTTCTGGAGGAAACCAGGCACTGCTCATCATCTGGATAATACCATCCCTACGGTGAAGTATGGTGGTGGCAGCATCATGCTGTGGGGATGTTTTTCAGAGGCAGGGACTGAGAGACTAATCAGGTTTGAGGGAAAGATCAACGGAGTAAAGTACAGAGAGATCTCCGGAGAGACCTGAAAATAGCTGTGCTGCGATGCTCCCCATCCAACCTGACAGAGCTTGTAAGGATCTGCAGAGAATAATGGGAGAAACTCCCCAAATACAGGTGTACCAAGCTTGTAGCGTCATACCCAAGAAGACTTGAGGCTGTAATGGCTGCCAAAGGTGCTTCAACAAAGTAAAGGGTCTGAATACTTATGATATTTCAGTTTTTTATTTGTAATACTTTTGCAAAAAAAAAGAACTGTTTTTGCTTTGTCATTATGGGGTATTGTGTGTATGTAGATTGATGAGGGAAAAAAGACAATGGGTCTGAATACTTTCCAAATGCACTGTATAATGAATGTAGAGACCCCATGCAGCCTGTGTCACCAAAAGATACACCTTGTGTATTCTACTTTTCTAACTCTCAACAGTAAGACCACGACTGAGTTCCTAAAAAAATAAACAGGTCTACTGGTGAAAAAAAAAACGCCAACTGGGAAGGGTTGCTGTCTGGGGGAGACTCAAATAAGAACTACTTAGGTTTATGTAGTGTAATGTTTATATATCTGCTTCTGAGAGGATCCTAGCTAGACTAGAGCATAACCACATGCATGTCTTAGTCTGGCTGGCCTCAAACTGATATGTTAACAGCTGTGGGAAGCGACTTGCTGCACTCTCTATAAAGTATTTCAGTATGCATGCATACTACATCTTTCAAACTGTGAAAAGAGTTGTGCACATTAAAAAAATTAGTGGTTAGCAACACTTCACACTTCACACAAATGGGTATGCTTAAATACTTAACAAGGTGGCAGTAGCACCATCCACAACCCTAACCCTAACTGAAACCGTTCAGTAATTGCTTTTTATAAATTGGAAATTACAATAACAGGTGATGAAATTAGTTATCCTAACCAAAATCGCCTTGGCCCAATCTCTGAGTGGTACACTGAGGTGATAACACTGATGTGTGACTAGGCACGTTCCCAAAGTATCTTGAAGCCCACCCAACACCCTCCTTTGTGGAAATTTTCAACAGTGAGAAGATGACAAGTCAGTGGTTTAACTAACAAGAAAGGAAACCACAGTGTAAAGTGTGTGTCTTTAGAAACTCACACCAAATTGGGGGGGAACATTGTTTCACTCATGATGCTCCACCCCCCAGAGTTGAGTCGTTAATATTTGTGTTTCCATTGAATACTTACAAAACATATAGACACAATACAAATACAGACACAATTCATGTTTAAAGGCACTGTCGTATCGCGTAAGTGCTGGCAATTATTGCTGATGAACAAAGGAGTCCGCTCATACTGAACCTGGATCATAAGATTTATTCATATCACAAGCTTCAGCATAAGTGACAGATGTCATGACATCCGGAGAGCGACGGCCCGGATTGCAATGGTCGCTCTGCCCTTTCTTTGTCTAGCCCCTACTTATAAACAATGCAAAAAGATGGGTGCTCCCTCTTCTGGCCAATCACCAGTCTCCCCTGGGGCGTCACCCCACAAACGCCACATTTGACCTAACATAAACAACATTCCATTTCTTCATGAAAAACATTTAACAAAGGCATAATCCCAATACACGACAGCACACACCCTGTAATCATTATATCTACATAATGCATTCAAAATATTGGTGCCAAGATCCCTCTCCAGCAGCAAATAGAGGACCAAGGAGTGTAATCTCAATGGAATCAAAGCAACACCAATATTTAAGGGTGTCAGAACTCAAGTCCTCCTTACAGTGAGGGGGCATTAGTTAGATTTAAGTCATTTAGCAGACGCTCTTTTCCAGAGCGACTTACAGTTACATTATTATTATATATATTTTTTCATACCCCCCGTGGGAATCGAACCCACAACCCTGGCGTTGGAAACACCATGCTCTACCAACTGAACTACATCCCTGCCAGCCATTCCCTCCCCTACCCAATTGTGCGCCGCCCCATGGGTCTCCCGGTCGCGGCCGGCTACGACAGAGCCTGGATTTGAACTAGGATCTCTAGTGGCACAGCTAGTACTGCGATGCAGTGCCTTAGACCACTGCGCCACTTGGGAGTTAACCTCCTCTGGCCCCATGTCTGCTGCAGCGCCTCACGGTCCAGTTTGTTGAGCTTCTGTGAGCACAGCCACAGCCACAGCCACAGGTCCTGGACCTGTTCTGACAGGCCGTCCAAACTAGAGTTGTCCCAGTGTCCGGCTGCCTGACAACCTGAAGAAAGAGAGAGAGGGAACAAATTAGAGGGACTAAGAGAGAGCCTGAGAGTCAGACTGAGAACCAATAGACTACTATAGGCCTACTGTAACTTGAAGGTTGAAATAGGTCAAAGGTCGCTGGGTGGAGAGGAGGCTGTGGAGTCCCGCTGAGGTCACTGCTGGGTTCTCTGACAGGTCTACAGACACCACGGAGGGACAGACAGGCAGACACCTAGACAGCAGGACACACAGAACATACAGATCTCAGTACTGGACAGTCAGGTCACATGAACCAGAGGTAGTGTACAGGGCAGATACTTGGAAAAGACCCAGGAAGCTCAACTAGCTAAATACAGAAGGACAAGGGTGATATACATTGAGAGAAACCACAAACACACCCCTGGCGAGGGTGGCTACGCTGCCGTCCATTTCCTGCCAGACTCAGTTGGGTTAGGGAGCAGTCATCCTGTGGAACACACAAAGGACCAATCAGAACCATGTTTTCTGTGCCTCCTCCTCCATTTCAGCAAGGGACCAATCAAGACCAAGATCTCATGCTATGCCCTTAACCAGGAAGTTAGTACTATGTCTATCACCCAATATGTCAGTGTTGAGTTCTCAGCTTGGCCTCCAGCTTAAACATGACTAATCAACATGAATCCTACTTACAGGGGGACCATCACTACATTCGTTCCTCTATTGAAGACCATCTTTCCATAGTGCCCCATTAAGTCAAATGGTGTACACACTTTAAGATACAATGAAGATACTACCATTGTATCCTAACTACCATATCAACACATGTTTCTTAGCTTGAATACCAGAGGCAAAGTTGTGGAGCAGATAAGTGGATGACATACTTCCTTTTCAACCTGTGAAATGTTTTCACAGCTTGCAAGGCGCCTGCCTCAAACCTGTGGTTTATGTTTACTGGTTAACAGACCACTGATAAGCGCTTTACAGAGAAAGAAGAGTTTCATTAACAGAAACCCAACCAATTGTTTCAACAAATTCTGTTAAAAGCTTCTCATCATTTTAGTGATTTATTTATTGTATTTGCAGTCTTTATCGTGTACCTTACTGGACAAATTTCCTCTACTAAGTATCTACTTACTGTAGATACTGTGATAGTTTGTGCAGTTCTTTAGACAAACAATGCTTAATTAAATACTCTATAAAATAACTTTATTTGAATTTGTGTGTGTGTATGTGTGTGCATTTGTGTGTGTGCATGTGTATGTGTGTGTGTGTGTTTACCTGGGACAGGAGGACTGACCTCAGATGTTCTAAAGCAGGGTGGTCAGCGGGTTCACAGCGGATGGCAGACAGATGGAGGTGTGTGAGACAGTGGAGAGGCAGAGTCTTCAGGACCAACTCAAAGCCCATAGAGCCCAGGGCATTATGGGACAGATTCACTGCCTTCAGGTGCCCTGTGCCTGTAGGACCATGAGAGGATTCTGATTCTTAGGTCACATTTCAAGAACCACTGTAGTGAATTGACATTATGATGGTGTTAAATGTTTTTTAAGTGGAACTGAAATAATGTTGATTTTAGTATCAAGAGGGAATGTTTTAGTGTAACGCCACATAAAACAGACAGGAAGTGTGTTGTAGACAGGGGAGACTGGTGATTGGCCAGAAGAGGGAGCATCTTTTTGCATTGTTTATAAATAGGGGCTAGACTACAGAAAGGGCAGAGCAGCCATTCTGAGGCGTCGTTCTCCGGGTGTCATGTCACCTGTCACTTATGCTGAAAGCTTGTGATCTGAATAAACTTATGATCAAGGATTCAGTATGAGCAGACTCCTTTGTTTATCAGCAATAATGGCCACCATTCATCCGATACGACACCACCTCACAAACAGATAGCAATGTATCCATGTGGAGTTGAAAATTGGTGTCCCCCAATGTTCCATTGCGGCTCCTGTGCTTTTCACCATTTATATAAATAATCTAATGCTAATAATATTTGTAATATCAGTGTAAAAAGGGTATTAATGAGCCTGTTTACCTGCCAGGGTGCTGGCCAGTAGGAAGTGGTGCTGCTGTTTACCTGCCAAGGTGCTGGCCAGTAGGAGGTGGTGTTGCTACAGGCAGCGGGTTGTTAGGCTGTAGAGACAAGACAGCCTCATACATCAGAGTCAGAACCTTTTCCAACCACAAAGACCTAGCCTGGCCTGTCCTGCACACCCACTGCTTCCTGTCAGGCTACTGCAGAAAGAGGGTGTGGTGCTGTGACCATCACTGAACATAGGTTAGTGTATTTGTGTCTTCCTGCATGCATGTGTGAAATAGAGTGAATGTTTAAAGTGGTATGTCAGCCACTTTTGGCCTTGCTTGAGATTCAACTCTGGCTTCTATAGTAAGGGGGTGTGTCAGTGTGTGTTTGTGTGTCTGCTCGTGTGTGTGTGTGTGAGCAGCCGATCCAGTGTTACTACCAGGCCTGTGGCCTCCTGCCACGCCTCTCACTGCAGAAAGAGGGCAATCTGCTCTCCCCCCAGGACCTGCTTCTGGCTGTTCTCCACACCAATGATGAGGTGAGGCCAAACCCCTAACCACTGACACAGGATCAGATATTTTTCCATCCTTCTAATGGTTAATGTTAAGAGTGAGGATAGGGTAATCTGATCCTAGATCTGTGGGTAGGGTCAACTTCTACCTTAAGCGAAACTGGTGATGGTAATTATGATGGTGGTGATGATGTCCACTGCAGGTCTTGGCTGAGGTGTGTTCGTGGGACCTCCTCCCTCTTCCTGATCAATACAAGAAGGCCTGTCACAGCATGACAGTGGGTGAGCATGTGAACACACACATACCTAACGACCACAGCCTCTACCGGCCTGTTATATTTCCTGCCACAGAGATGTCTAAATAACACCTTGATCCAAGAGTCCCTAAATTACTTTTAGGAATTATTTCTGAGATGTGAACACCTGAAGTGCATTGTTAATTCATGCCGTGTATGTGTGTGTCTGCGTTTATGTGATGTGATGTGTGTCCAGAGGAGAACAAGCATGTGGTTCGTCTGTGTGAGGTGCAGGACGGCAGTCCCTCTGTGTCAGTGTGTGACCTCAGCCTGACCCCCTCCTCCCTCTCCCCTCTCCTCCACGCCCTCAAACTGCAGGTCAGACTCACCCAGCTGTCTGGCAACCATTTCCACGACGACCTCTTCCCAGAGCTGGTCGCCGCCGCTACAGTAGCCGCCACCTGTAAGTGTCCTCAAATCACATCACGTGGGAGGGGCATAAGAAGGCAGCGAACGACTTGGAAGGGCATCCCAAGACTGCTTTCCCAGTTACTTAATATAGGTCATTTCTATTTACTTAGTTAGTTTGTGTAAACTTAGTGTCATTTTTCGAGTAGTTGATATTATTTTGCTGGTGAAATACTCTCAGCTGGAAAGCAAGTGAAGCTATGAACGTCAGGCCTTTGTGTTTTTGCATCCCTGAATGTTGTTTCAGAAGCATCTGCACCCCACCAAGACAAACTCTATGGGAAACACAGACATATAGTGCCTTCAGAAAGTATTCATACCCCTTGAGGCAGAGGAATGTATTTTAGAAACCATAGAAACAGAACTACTAGAACAGAAATCCCCATTCAAGTCAATGATCTGAGATGGGTGAACCAGTCTAGTAATTATATTTCTATATTAGAAACCATTAACTACCCAGTCCTTAACATACACTGCCTCATCCAATGATGCAAATATAAGAGAGCTCGTGGAACGAATAGAAAGGGTCCAAAAGTGCAAACCCCACCCACCTGGAACTCCAGGTAGACTAAAGCAAATTCTCAAGGTATTTGAAAGATTTGAAATATTATTTGAACCCAGGTCGGCTCATAGTCAATCTCTCTAACCTGCTGAGTGCTGTGGTGGGTCTGGGGTGGCGTGGAAGGTCGGGGGTCATCGTCGTCGGTTACTGTGGGGCTCTATGTCCTGCTGCCATCGCGGTAAAGCTGGGTAATATGGACATGGATCATATTGACATGGATCAATATGGATCATATACCGGTATTTTATTCCATTTTGATGGTATTTGATGTTTCTGAATAATGAAAGTTCTAAATATACATTATGGGTAGTGAATGACAACTTATTAATTCTAAGTGGTTTTAATGGGCTTTCTCCATTCTGGTTGATTTATATCAAACTTCAACCAAAAATAATAAGAGGACAAAACGTTGTATTGATCGGTCTCCGTCCGTTAGTATGTTAGTCACACGCGATATCTCAGACAGCACTGGCCCGATTTTGACAAAACTCGTCTTGCCATAGAGATCCGGCATTAACATCATTACACTGATTGGCCCAAGGGGGGGACCTATAGTAATTAACTGAAATGTGTTAGTCACACGCAATATCTCAATTGGCCCAAGGGGGTGGTGCTACATCATTCTTCGTGGACGATAGGTTTACTGTTGCCTTGTATTTTATAGTAACATTTAACAATAGTGACTCATTTTCAAGTGCCATTCAAGACACAGGGACATTACATGGCAAGCAAAACAGAAACTTAGAACCCCTAAAAGTCTAAGCTAACATATGGCATTGTTTTAAGATGGTCATCCCATGGATCATTTAGCTATTTGATTTTGAATTTTAAGACCCCTGTAGGTACTAAAAAATAATGTAGCCCATAGAAACACATATAATAACACATTCATAATGGCAAAATAGACCTCCAAAAAATACATCATAAGGAATTAGGATTTGAAGTGTCTGTTTTTAGGAGATATAAGAAATCTCAGGATATATATATATATATATATATATATATATATATATATATATATATATATATATATATATATTTTGTGAACACATATTTAACCCCCTTTTTTTTGTTTGCACAAAACTACTTCAATAATTCCATACATTTTTTCAACTGGTATCAGATTACCTTCAGATGAGTCCTGTGACACCTGTGTGGGTTGTAGAGCAAAACAGAGAACACCATCGTGTTGGTGATAGTCTCCCCTCTCCATAGTGGGATCATATTAGATTTTGTTTTGTTGATAGATTGTGGCTTCTATCAATGTACTTTTCTGCATCATTTCCAATCCCCCATATATATTATTGTGTAAATATATATATATATTATTTTAAATATTTTCTTTCTTTATAATTTTTCCCTAACCCTACGACCCCTCTCCTAATTGGAGTAAACTAATGGACACCAATACTTACATGCTGACCACACCACCCGCGTCGCATGCGCGAGCGTTGCAAAATAAAATGTACAAATACATGTTATTCAATCATTGTACCCACACTGCTCGCGCACGTCAACGAGCATCTGCATAGCCAGGCGCTAAAATAGAACTTGGTTCTATTTGTGACGCTTGGCGCGCTGCAAGTCCCACCTCTCCCATCTCTTCATTGTTTTTTAGCAGCATGCAGCATACTGTATACCCACGTGGGTGATTGAAAGATGAACTGAGGTCCACACTCCAGTCCAGTTGGGTGTGGTAAGGCACCTTAAAGTTGGTTGCCAACCACCATATAAATTCCAAAGAAGAAGAAGCCTGAAGGAGGAGAGATTACTAGAAATGAACTCAGTTTACCATTTTATCTTTGGATTAATTGTCGGAGTAGAGGACCTTGTGCATTTCAGGTAAAATCACAACCCAATGTTTATATCCCAGGACAAATTAGCTAGCAACAGCAAGCAAGCTAAATTGCCATAAATGTTTAATGTTTTTCAACCTGTCCCCAAATTAATATAGTTGGTTAAAAGTTTGTTTTGAAATTTCAACCTGTGTGTCCTGATCGCGTCTGATGTGGGTGAAATCAACATGTGCGCGATGGCACACGTAGACGCACACGCGCGGTGTGGTCAGCATGTTAGGCTTCTACTTCCAGCTTATATCAGCTTATCCAGCTACATTGAACAAAAATGTAAATGCAACCTGCAACAATGTCAAAGATTTTAATGAATTACAGTTCATATAAGGAAATCAATCAATTGAAATATATTCATTAGGCCCTAATCTATGGATTTCACATGACTGGGAATACAGATATTCATCTGTTGGCCAAAGATACCTTAACAAATAGGTTGGGCCGTGGATCAGAAACTAGTCAGTATCTGGTATGACCACCATCTGCCTCATGCAGCGCGACACATCTCTTTCGCAACGAGTTGATCAGGCTCCCACTCCTTTTCAGTGGCTGTGTGAAGTTGCTGAATATTGGGGGGAACTGGAACATGCTGTCGTACACATCGATCCAGAGCATCCCGAACTGGCTCAATGGGTGACATGTCTGGTGAGTATGCAGGCCATGGAAGAATTAGGACATTTTCAGCTTCCAGGAATTGTGTACAGATCATTGCGACATGTGGCCTTGCATTATCATGTAGAAACATGAGGTGAACATGGCGTGGCTGGAACTGGTTTAAAATGGCGGACAGAAACCAGGAAGGAGAGAAGAAGAAGAAAGAGAGTATCTTTGACCTGTCATAGTACATTGATAAACAAATCCGTGTGAAGTTTCAGGGAGGACGAGAGGCCAGTGGAGTTCTGAAGGGGTTTGACCCCCTGTTGAACCTGATATTGGATAGCACCATCGAGTACTTGCGGGATCCTGACGACCAGTTCAAGCTGACCGAGGACACGCGGCAGCTGGGCCTGGTGGTTTGTAGAGGGACATCCGTGGTGCTCATCTGTCCTCAGGACGGCATGGAAGCCATCCCCAACCCCTTCATCCAGCAGCAGGACGGATAGTCGGCCAGCCTCGTTCTCTAGGATGACCTCACAGTAATCCAATTCCTGGTGTGTATGTCAATTGTATTTCCTTGATTCCTTGCATCCTCTACTTGCCTCCTTCTCAAAGTGCATTGGAGGAGAAGATCAGAGGAGAGGAACCTAAGATCTACTCCAGTGTGCTTTGAGAAGAAGGGAGGATGTGAGGATTCAATTAAATATTATTGCGGTTAGTATGAAAAAAAAAAAAAAAAAAAAAAAAAATTATGCACTCACTACTGTAAGTCGCTCTGGATAAGAGCGTCTGCTAAATGACTAAAATGTAAATGTAATTGTCATGTAAAATGTGATGGCGGCAGATGAATGGCACGACAATGGGCCTCAGGATCTTGTCACAGTATCTCTGTGCATTCAAATTGCCATCGATAAAATGCAATTGTGTTCGTTGTCCATAGTTTATGCCTGCCCATACCATAACCCCACCGCCACCATGGGGCATTCTGTTCACAAAATTGACATCAGCAAACCGCTTGCCAACATGACGCCATACAAGTGGTCTATGGTTGTGAGGCCGGTTGGACGCACTGCCAAATTCTCCAAAACGACATTGGAGGTAGTTTATAATGAAAATTCAATTCTCTGGCAACAGCTCTGGTGGACATTGCATTGTGTGACAAAACTGCACATTTTAGAATGGTATTTTATTGTCCCTAGCACAAGGTGCACCTGTGTAATGATCATGCTGTATAATCAGCTTCTTGATATGCCACACCTGTCAGGTGGATGGATCATCTTGGCAAAGGAGAAATGCTCACTAACAGGGATGTAAACAAACTTGTGCACAAAATTTTAGAGAAATAAGGTTTTTGTGCGGATGGAACATTTCTGAGATGTTTTTTTTCTGCTCATGAAACATGGGACCAACACTTTACATGTTGTGTTTATATGTTTGTTCAGTGTATATAATTTTTACGGATCCAAATTGCAGATTTAAAAGAAAACATAAATCTTCAGCGGACAATGACACCTTTGTTTTTAAGCCCTGGATTTATAGCCCCTTGATATTATTGTTGGATCTGATTTTAATAGCAAACATTTCAATTGCCATAATAAATACCTCCCGAGTGGTGCAGTGGTCTAAGGCACTGCATCGCAGTACTAGCTGTGCCACTAGAGATCCTGGATCGAATCCAAGCTCTGTTGTAGCCGGCTGGGACCGGGAGACCCATGGGGCAGCTCACAATTGGTCCAGGGTAGGGGAGGGAATGGCCGGCAGGGATGTAGCTCAGTTGGTAGAGCATGGTGTTTGCAACGCCAGGGTTGTGGGTTCGATTCCCACGGGGGGCCAGTATGAAAAATAAATAAATGTATGCACTCACTAACTGTAAGTCGCTCTGGATAAGAGTGTCTGCTAAAATGTAAATAGATATGCCAATAGTGGACAACCTTGTTTTTCTCTTCTTGCCAGTTTAATACTTTCTGAGAAGTAGCCATTATTTACTATTTTACACTTGGGGTTACTATACATAACTTTAACCCATTGTAGAAGAGATCCTCCAAATTTAAAAAAGTCCAGGCATTTATATATAAATTCCAGTCGTATTTTATCAAAGGCCTTTTGAAAGTCAGCTATGAATACCAGGTGTGGTTTCGATTGTTCCAGTACTTGTCTTATATTATCGCCAGTGTATCGTCCATGTAAAATTATTATTGGTGTTTGTGGTTCACTCCAAAGAACGCGTTTCCATTGATCCAGAGTCCAATGTCGGCGAGCTTTACACCACTCCAGACAGTGCTTGGCATTGTGCATGGTGATCTTAGCCTAGTGTGTGGCTGCTGGCCACGGAAACCCATTTCATGAAGCTCCCAACGAACAGTTATTGTGCTGACATTGCTTCCAGACGCAGTTTGGAACTCAGTAGTGAGTGGTGCAACTGAGGACAGACGATTTTAACGTGTTACGTGCTTCAGTACTTGGCAGTCCCATTCTGTGAGCTTGTGTGGCCTACCACTTCTCGGCTGAGCCGTTGTTTCTCCTAAAGCAGCTCTAGCAGGGCATAGATTTGACAAACTGACTTGTTGAAGTTGAAAGTCACTGAGCTCTCCAGAAAGGCCATTCTACTGCCAATTTTTGTCTATGGAGTTGCATGGCTGTGTGCTCGATTTTATACACCTGTCAGCAACGGGTGTGGCTAAAATAGCCGACTCCGCCAATTTGAAGGGGTGTCCACATAGTTTTGTATATATAGTGTATATCGCCATAATGCATACACAATATACGGTGCATTTGGGAAGTATTCAGACCCCTTCACCTTTTCCACATTTTGTTACATTACAGCCTTATTCTAAATTTGATTAAATTATTTTTTCCCCTCATCAATCTACACACAATACCACATAATGACAAAATCGAAAAACAGGATTTTAGAATTTGTTGTAAATGTATTAAAAATACAAAACAGAAATACCTTATTTACATAAGTATTCAGACCCTTCGCCATGAGACTCGAAATTGAGCTCAGGCGCATCCTGTTTCCATTGATCATCCTTGAGATGTTTCTACAACTTGATTGGAGTCCACCTGTGGTAAATTCAATTGATTGGACATGGTTTGGAAAGGAATACAGCTGTCTATATAAGGTCCCACAGTTGACAGTGCATGTCAAAGCAAAAACTAAGCCATGAGGTCGAAGGAATTGTCCGTAGAGCTACGGGACAGGATTGTGTTCCCCAAGAACACAGTGGACTCCATCTTTCTTCAATGGAAGAAGTTTGTAACCACTAAGATTCTTCCTAGAGATAGCCGCCCAGCCAAACTGCGCAATCGGGGGAGAAGGGCCTTGGTCAGGGAGGTGACGAAGAACCCGATGGTCAGCCTGACAGAGCTCCAGAGTTCCTCTGTAGAGAAGGGAGAACCTTCCAGAAGGACAACCATCTCCGCAGCATTCCACCAATCAGGCCTTAATGTTAGAGTGGCCAGATGGAAGCCACTCCTCAGTAAAAGGCATATGACAGCCCGCTTGGAGTTTGCCAAAAGGGACCTAAAGGACTCTCAGACCATGACAAACAAGATTCTCTGGTCTGTTGAAACCAAGATTGAACTCTTTGGCCTGAATGCCAAGGGTCATTTTTGGAGGAAACCAGGCACCGCTCATCACCTGGATAATACTATCCCTACGGTGGTGTATGGTAGTGGCAGCATCATGCTGTGGGGATGTTTTTCAGCGGCAGGGACTGAGAGACTAATCAGGTTTGAGGGAAAGATGAACGGAGTAAAGTACAGAGAGATCTCTGGAGAGACCTGAAAATAGCTCTGCAGCGACGCTCCACATCCAACCTGACAGAGCTTGAGAGGATCTGCAGAGAACAAGGGGAGAAACTCCCCAAATACAGGTGTGCCAAGCTTGTAGCGTCATACCCAAGAAGACTTGAGGCTGTAATGGCTGCCAAAGGTGCTTCAACAAAGTAAAGGGTCTGAATACTTATGATATACTTGTGATATTTCAGTTATTTATTTGTAATACTTTTGCAAAAAAAATAACTGTTTTTGCTTTGTCATTATGGGGTATTGTGTGTATGTAGATTGATGAGGGGGAAAAAACAATTTAATCAATTTTAGAATAAGGCTGTAACGTAAAGAAATGTGGGAAAATTCAAGGGGTCTGAATACTTTTCCAAATGCACAGTATAATGCATGTAGAGACCCCTCTGCAGCCTGTGTCACCAAAAGATACACCTTGTGTATTCTACTTTTCTAACTCTCAACAGTAAGACCCCGACTGAGTTCCTAAAAAAAATAAACAGGTCTACTGGAGAAAAACAAAACGCCAACTGGGAAGGGTTGCTGTTTGGGGGAGACTCAAATAGGAACTACTTAGGTTTATGTCGTGTAAGTTTATATATCTGCTTCTGAGAGGATTCTAGCTAGACTAGAGCATAACCACATGCATGACTTAGTCTGGCTTGCCTCAAACTCAATGTCCCCAACCATAATAGTGTTGTTAGCAGCACTATGCTTAAATACTTAACATGTGGCAGTAGCACCATCCACAACCCTAACAAAAAACATTTAGTAATTGCTTTTTATGAATTGGAAATTACAATAACAGGTGATGAAATTAGTTATCCTAACCAAAATCGCCTCGTCCCAATCTCTGAGTGATACACTGAGGTGATAACACTGATGTGTGACTAGGCACGTTCCCAAAGTATCTTGAACCCCACCCAATCCCCTCCTTTGTGGAAATGTTAAACAGTGAGAAGAAGGCCAGTCAGTGGGTTAACTAACAACGAAGGAAACCACAGTGTGAAGCTGTGTGTCTTTAGAAACTCACACCAAGTTGGGGTGGAAAATTGTTTCACTTGCAAGACTCATGATGCTCCACACCCCAGAGTTGTGTCGGAGATAATGATAATTCTGTTCATGGTAATATTTGTGTTTTCCATTGAATACTTACAAAACATATAGACACAATACAAATACAGACACATACACTGTAATAATTATATCTACATAATGCATACAAAATATTGGTGCCGAGATCCCTCTGCAGCCTGTGTCACCAAAAAATGCCTCAAATTTGAGGACTAAGGAATGTAAATAATCTGAAGTGTACGCATTGGTATCCAAGCGTCTTCAGTCTTTAAGGGTGTGAGAACTCAAGTCCTCCTTACAGTGAGGGGGCATTAGTGAGCCTCCTCTGGCCCCAGGTCTGCTGCAGCTCCTCACGGTCCAGTTTGTTGAGCTTCTGTGAGCACAGCCACAGGTCCTGGACCTGTTCTGACAGGCCGTCCAAACTAGAGCTGTCCCAGGGTCCGGCTGCCTGACAACCTGAAGAAAGAGAGAGAGGGAACAAATTAGAGGGACTAAGAGAGACTGAGAACCAATAGACTACTATAGGCCCACTGTACCTTGGAGGTTGAGATAGGTCAAAGGTCGCTGGGTGGAGAGGAGGCTGTG